GACGTGTGCTCTTCCGATCTCTGGTTTACGATTGCGAATTTTGCAAAATGGTAGAGGACTTTTCGATTCAGTTTAGTCCGTTTTACCTACCCATGAACGGTGATACACCTATTATGAGACACCCTGTATATATATATAGTATATATAAATTATATATTATTATTTTTATACTTTATAATTTATTCTATCCTGTGTTTTTTGAACGCATAATTTATGTCGCTGAAACAAAGGAATGTGCCTCACAGGAAATATTTCCATCGAGAGAAGAAATTTATTTCGCTTAAGTATGTCGCAATAACTTCTAGACAGAGAAAATTGCAAAACGGATTTATACCGTATTACATTATAAGTGGTTATATTCCAATGATCTCTATAATAACTGTAAAGAGGAGTACTCCATTTTCCATTTTATTCGAACTGCTAGTGGATGTATTCTTTATTGTAGTCAAGGGTACGGATAATGTAATAATGCTTTATAAAAAACCTGCCTATATTGCCTCTCGTAAGAGATCCGATCCAATATCCCTTATTGATGGCGAATTAATTATTGTAGCATCGAAGAGAGAGAGAAACGATAATCATGTCATTAATTTTATAGTTATTCTGTCAAATAATTTAATTTTTAAATGATGCAAGAGATTATTAATAACAACAAACAATAATTTATAGCGCCACAGACAAAACATTACATTACGATAAAAAGTAGCATAATTTAGCTTATTAGTCGGGCTTTTATTTTTTTTCTAATTTGTCTTTAATTCTTGTAGAAACTTTTTGCGCATAAAAGTGCTAATCTAATGTTAATCATCGCTTATGTTACAGAATGACAATAATTTTCTGAAATTTTCCGCTATTCAACGGAATGATCAATAAAATATTTTTAATTCGAATACCTCGAGACCATACAAATATAGTAATGTACAACAAGCTTATTGTACATATAAATGACATATTGTAGAAAGCATCATCAGTAATTTTCCATCCGTACGCTATAATTTAGTGATTAGTGTTCTAGATAAATAATTATTATACAGAGTACTTACATCAACGAACAGTGTTATATCTTAACGTAGTGCTTTTTAAACTATAAATTATAAAATTAAAGAATTTGCAAATTTCTCTTACAAATTAATTTTACTAGTAATGAACTTTTGTGTTTGATATAATAAATATATTCATTTTTATGTGTTTTATTTCGACAGTTTGTATAATATTATTTTAAATAATTAATATATTTTAAAATTTTTCAACATTTATACGTGACATGAACACATATGAAATGTGGAAATTTGGGAAAAAATTAAGGCTAAAATTCAAAGCTTCTATATCTGGATATTTATATTTAAATTTTTTTTACATGAGATGTTTAATTCCTTTTCAAGTGTGTGTTAAACGCAGGAAAAAATAAATCTGTAGATTGCTACATATTAACGATTATTAACATCGCTCTTACACAAAATATACGAATGTGCAATATTTTCAGCCATCAAAGCAATACTAGCGATTTATTAGTCGAGCTTTCATTTCATTTCCCTAACGAATTTGTTACCAATCGATCATGTTTCGCCAGTCAATTGCAATTTGCAATTTTGGCTTGAATTTTCCAAATGGACCCATCAATTTCGCGATGCCGCTTGCGTACGTTTGTGATGACCCCAAATGTGCTATGTACATATACGTAGACGTGTGATAATCGATTAAATTATAATATACGACGCGCCGCGTTTGTTCAATGCATAGAGCTATCGGTATTGTATGATAATAGTATGTGTACGATAATGTAGAATAAGCCTCAGGGACGATGTATATACGCTAAGCTGTAAGTTATATTAGTTTTTGCATTTGTGGTCACAATAACTCTTCCCTCCCGTGTAAATATAATGTGTAACTTATCGTGTACTTGGGCAATAAATGTTAGACAATCGTGATAATTCTTTGTGCGAATTGTTACGCTTGTGTTATAGGTCATTCCATTCTTTTCACCGAGGCTTCTGATTTTTACGACGGAAAAAAATTTGTTAAATTATAGACTGAATGAAAGAAGACTGTATTTCAATAAAAAGATATTATACAGGCCGTTCTCCTGTTCACCACATCTTTCATTTACGATATATAATATGTCTGATAAATTTCAAATCAAATTCTGTAAATTGAATAAGATTTTTATTCAATGCTGTATTATTTATGCAGTTTTTCTTATATTATTTGTTATTAAATAACTTCGGTGCTTTTTTCTTAAAATCAAAGTTTCATTGAAATCAAATGCACTTAATATTTCATAAAGATCAAAGTTTTACCATCTATAATTATACCAACTGATACTTATTTAAAAAAAACTCATTTTAGGTGATTATACGTTCTATAAAGAATCATTAATAGTAGATAATAAGAGGACTGTAATTATGATAAATCTGTAGAGAATGTCTTCATTGAAGTTCTAGGTAAGTAAGAGCAAATGCATAAATAAATTTTTTAATTATTTCATATTATATTAAATTAATAATGAGTAAAAAAACTTATAAGTTTATAAAAATAATCTAATATAGATGTTAATAAGCAAGTACATTTCTATATTCTCTCTTACATATTATATATGGTATATAAAAATGTGGTAGCTTAGAATATACATTTCAAATGACAAGTACAAAACATTTATTTGTAATTACTATTGTATCAGTAACCGATATCTTCATATCTTTGTAAACCAACAAGTGATAATTAGCTTTGGTTGCTTCTGACAAAGAGAAGCATGAACGCGGATACTCCGGCCTTTTACGTGGAATCGTCAAAATCTCCGTGCACTAACGTCAGTACATCCATTTTTGAAATGGATACTACGTAACTAAATCCATTTTCTAACAATGTCGATAAAAATATAAAATTATATACTATATTAAATAAACAATACTTTTTATGTAAGCTACTTTGTTTAATCGAATATACTTGAAATTATCCAGTCATTGATAACTAAAATTTTTCTTCTAAACAAACTATATTCAATTTAAAATACAAGTAAAATTTAACTAACAATAAGCTAAAATAAATTAGCACGTTAATGCTTTCTAAAAATTGAAAATTGCTTTTAAAGTAGTGCCTGCGAGATTTCAACGAACATTGATTGCTTTTTAACAAATTAAAATTACATTTAAAACAATGCCTGCGAGTTTTCGATAAACATTGATAGCCTTTAAAAAATGGAAATTATTTTTAAAGCAATGCCTGCGAGTCTTTGACATGAAAAATTGTTTTTAAGAAATTTTTAGTTTACTTTTCAAGAAATGCAGACATGCCTGCGAGTTCTGATCGAAGTGAGAGATTGCATTTTAAAAAATTTTTTTGTTTTTCATGAAATTATATGCATTTATTTGTTAATCATTCCGATTATTAACATCCGTGTTGCAAATGTTTTAAATTTATTATATGCTCCATTAGCGGGGCGTATTCTCTAAATTCTCTAGAGTGAATTTTCACTCTTTTGGAGTGAGATTTACTCTAAAAAATTTAGAGAGTAAAGTATATAAGATAGACATTCTCGATTAACAATGTCAAAATCTAAATAACAGCCAAACTAATAATTTAACTAAATTGGTGGGTATATTATCTAACCAAACGGGACTGATACCACTTGTAGACCATGTATTATTTTTTAGCAACGTTTTGCAAATGTCCATTCTGTGCACGAATGCTACCAGGAAATTCGATTCCAGCAACACTGTAAGATATTTGAACTCAATTATGCTCTGTTTATTATTTGAAACAAATTATTACACAACAAATTATACAAACTGTACATTTTCCAATTTAAGAATTCAAACAAAATTTAATTGGGCAAAAACAGACCAACTTGTAGACGCCCTCCACACACCCCCGCCAATTCTAATCGGCAGTCGCCTTTATATTGCACAAAGATTTTTAATTTTCTTATTATTTATTATAAG